AACATATATCTGGGGGGAAGAATGCTCAACTTTTTTTTAAATTGATAAGGATGCATGATTGAAAAAGTTCAGAGAATACTGCTCAAATGGGAGTTTGCTCTTTGGCCCAGAACTACTTGGCCCAGAACTACTTAACGGTAACTTGTATGAAGGAATAGGGAACGTGATTATCACAATGGCAAATGATACAAAGCTAGAAGAGATGCCCAACAGACTGAATGATGGAGTCAGGATCCAAAAAACTTTGCTGGGCAAGAATGCTGGATTCAATCTAATGACAGTAAATTTACTATAGCTAAATATCAAATTCAACACTTAGATTATACACACAAGATGGGTGAGATACAGCCCCCCCTAAAAAAAGTTCACTGAAATAAAAGTTGAAGGGTTCTAGTGATCTCCAAGAGCAAACTGCATCAAGAGTCCAAAATGGAAACCCAAATCACTAAGGCGATTTCAGCTACATGAAAAGGCTTAAGGTCCAGAACAAGTTAGTTTATGGCCCCATTGTACTCCCTGTTGACAAAAACAATCCTGGAACATTATGTTCAGTTCTGAGGACAATATTTTAGGAAGTCCACTGCTAAGAGACAGCACTGAAGAGCATCCAAAGGAGGTCACCCAGGATGGAGAAGCATCCCAAGATCATGCCCAGTGCCCAGTAGGGATTAGTAAAAAGAGCTGTGGATGCTTAGCTAAGCAGAAAAGCCTCAGCAGATACATGGCAACTGTCTTTAAATACTGAAACGGCAATGTGTAGATAAAGAATTTGCACCAGCCCAGTCTCCTCTTTCCTTGAGAATGTTCCAAACACAGAACATCTGTCCTCATGTGTCCTCAGGCTGGGGTAAGCTCCCAGGCTGCCAATGGGAGGGAAAGACACTATTTTGCTAATTTAAGAGCCAGGAAATTTGAAGAATTTTGAGAGTCATCCAACATGGAATTAAAATCTAAGGAGATGATAGCGATCATTAAGCATGAGCAGAACTCATTGGTGAGGGAGGCTGGCAGACAGACAAGGTCACCAAAGTGACTGACATAAGAAGATGGGGAATCAGAGGAAATATCACAAGATAAAGAAGGACCCGAGAAAAGCAGGGATGGTCCTGAATCCAGGCTTTTATCATCTTACACTGAATTAATGGATGAGCCAGGTTACTTCCCCTTCTAATCAACCCTCTACAAAACTAATCTTTATCTTCCTCAAAATATTAATTTCAAAGTATTTCCCTGCTCAAAACCTGTTATTTTCCCTCTCCTGTTGAGTCCCCACACTACACAATATCAAATGGGTCGGGAAGGCATGCAAACACAACCCAAAAAATCACCTTAAACTCCAGGGAGGCCACACTTCTCACCCATCATGCCTTTCTCTTACAGTGTCCCTGCCAAGAGCACTCCCCCCACAGTCCACTTATTCAAATCCAAAGAGGACCCCGAGACCACGTGCCTGTTTTTGGATAAATCATTTCCTAATTACTCAATTTGATTCAATGAATGTGTATTAAGTGTCTACTCTCCGTAAGGCAGGGTGGAGGCACTCAAGAAGCAATAGGAAAAATAGAAATAGTCCCTAAGCTCAAAAACCTTTCCTTCTACTGTGGGGACACATAAGTAAATTTTAAAATGGTTTGAGCGGGGAAAGTATCTTAAAAGGCAGTGGACAGAACAGTGGGCCTGAAATCAGGAAGACCTGAGCTCAAATACAGCCTCAGCTGTTTGACCATGGGCAAACCATTTAACCCTGTGTGCCTCAATTTCCTCATCTGTAAAATGAGTTGGAGAGGGAAATGGCAAACCACTCCATATCTTTGTAAAGAAAACTCCAAATGGGGTCGCAAAGAGTTGGACACAACTGAAAAACAATTAAACAACAACAAGTACCTTAACAGATGAGGGAAGGGATTTTGCTACATTGGAAGCAAAGACACTTCGGGGCTTTGTGTAAATGACACCTGAGCCAAAAATTAAAGAAGATAAGGATTCTAAGAGGAAATGTCTACCAGGCAGGAGGTAAATGCACACAGGTGGGAGATGCTGAGTTCCTGCAATGGGCAGTGGGACCATGTGAATAGAAAATTCAAGATACGGCATAATATGAAATCAGAATGGAAAAGAAGAAGTCAGATTATGGAGGTCTTTAAAAGCCAGGTGAGAAAACTATGTTTTACCCTTAAAGGAACCAGGAACCAACCAAAGGCCTTTGAACAGGGGAGTGATATATTTAGCCCTGTGCCATCAGAAGATCACTGTTGCAGTAGGTGGAGCATGAACTGAACAGGGGAAGAGTAAGAGGACCAGTGATGCAGAATATTCTTCCAGTGCCAGCAAGTGATTGGGGCCTCCTAAGTGGAGGCAAGAGAAGTTATGGAGATAGAACTGACAAGGCTTGGCAGCTCATTGACTGCAGGAGCGAACAGAGAAAAAGAGCCAGGTATGGCACTGATATTACAAATCTGGGCCAATGGTGAAAAGAAGGATAGCAGTGCCCTTGACAGAAACAGGGAAATTCAGATAATAAGTATGCTTATACGGAAAGGTGGTAACTTCCATTTTGGACATATTGACTCAGAGAGGTTGACGGACAACCAGCAGGCAGAGGCAGATGCGTAGGGGACTAGAGTAAAGAAGAGATATTAAAATCAGAAACATGGATCTGGGAGTCATCTACATAGATAAGTCTGTCAATAAACACTTAAGTGCCTACTCTGTGCCAGGCACTGTGTGTGCTAAGCTCCATGATTTTAAATAAATAAGTGAATCAATGAGAGCTGATGAAATCACCAAGGTAGAGAGTGTAGAGAGAGAGAAGAGAAAGGACAAGCAAAGCCTCAGCACTGGAGGAGCTCTCCGAAAGACAGAGAGGAATGAAGTTCTTGAAGAGACACACAAAATGTGTGAGCAAGGGTTGGGGAGACAAAGGAGATTAAAAAGGCAGAGATGAGATAGTTCTACATGTAGAAGGGGAATCAAGATAATAAATCAAAAAAGGAAATCACAGTGTCTCACATATGGAAGTGATGCAACAATACCTTTGAGCCCTGCTGATTCCTGAGAAAAAGTCTCCCCTAAAACAAGACTGAAAGGCAGTCATCCAGCCGTCACCTGGAGACCTCAAATGAGGGGCAGCCTCACTACCATTAACAGCAGGCTAGTACACTCTCAGATACACGATCATTAGGAAACTTTTCCTTACGTCAGGCCAAATCTTGTACCAAACCAAGTCTGTGCTCCACAACATCGCTGACCAGTGGCCAACTAGAATTTTTGAAGGCCTCCATTAAAGGAGAAACCACCATCTCTTGACTCAGCCCAATGCACTGCTTACAGGAACTCTAATTAATGGAAGTTGTCCCTCCATCAAAACAAAAAGTGTTTCTTTGCAGTGCCCATTCTCTATTCCATGCTCTCTTCCCTCTGGGGCCAAGGAGAATGAGTTTGATCCCCCTTCCACAGGATGGCCTTTCAAATATTCGGAGGCAGTTATCATATGCCCTACAAAGTCTTCTCTCCTTCGAGTGAGACAAACCCAATCCTCTTGACATTTAGGTCTCCCATTCCCAATTATGCTCCCACTCCTCTAATTTGTTCCTAATTTGTGGAAACCACACCCAAGTCACCAGACACAGACTGACAAGAGGAAAGTTAGAAGGGGACTATCACAGTCCCACAGCTGGATAGGTCCCTAGAAGCTCCAACCGGTAGCCAACCAAAAGTTCCCCCTACTAACAAATGTCATTGAGTGTCAGCCAAAGTTATGAAAGAAAATAATACCAGAGAAAAATATCCTTTAATTTTAGATAGAGGTAAGAGAAGCATCATGGTATTGGGGGTGGGTTCTGGACTCCGAAAGACAAAGGTGAGGTTTGAGTCCATCCTGCCACTACTAGTCTAGTGACCATGGGCAAACAGAAACCTCAATGAACCTCCCTCACCCTCTTCATCTATAAAATGAGATAATAATTTTTATTACCCACCTCAAAGGTTAAAAAAGGATTTGGTAAGTCATAAAGTGCCATTAGTTTATAAGAGCAGTATTAAGAAATTCTATGGTAACTGATGGAATCCTAGCCACTGCCCCCAACTCCAATATCCCAACTTCCTCATATGCCTCTGTAAGACAGCAGGTGTGTACATGACCTCAACCACATCCATCTAGGTTTAGACATACCACAAGAACCGGCTAATAAGAAAGCAGCACAAACAGGATACGGACCTGGCCACCAACTCACAGAAGAGACTTTCTCTAGTGCCTGTACAGTAATAGCAAAAACTGTCCTTTAGGTGAACTTATGATGTAAAGAGGTTTATTATAATGTCATTATCATACATTAATATCCCCCAAGTGGGCTTTTCTGTATACATTCTGGGAAGCCACATGCACAGTTCCACCAAAGCTAGGATCCCTCCCCATATTAGCAAACCCTTCCTATATTTTAAAATTCATATATTTTGTTATGCTAATAGCATCATTTGCTCTATAAAAATCCTTGTCTTGCCTTACTAGACTGCTGGTTCCCACTGAGAGCATAATCCTCAATATAAATGCCTTTGCTCAATTTGGAGATGGTCTGAGTCTGTGAATTCTTTCAAGAAAACCCTATGACACACCTTGCTACCCCAACAGTAACCTTAATAATTATTTTCCATGAAGCAGAGGGAAGAAAGGACAGACTTCAGCATTTTAAGAAAAAAAAAGAGGCTGGAGGAAATGAAGAGTGAAAATCATTAGTTTGCAGAATCTGGGCAAAGAACAGAGATGAAATGGAAAGTAGATAAAACAGGCACTAGGTACAACCAATGGGCTTGAGCTTCTCAATATAGGTGAGACTCATCTACATCTGAGAGAGAGGGAAAGGACTGTTTGAAGAGGGAGACATTAAGGGGAAAAAATTATCATAAGAAGAGGCAGGAAAAGAAGAGATCTAGAGAACAAGCATCAGAAAAAAGCCACTGCTCCCAATCACACTCATCTTTCTGGTTTCTTATCCCCCACTCACCTACAGAAATGTTTCCTGGAACTTTTCCATCTGGCAACTCTGGTGATTGTCTTCTCTCCAACTGGGAGATCACAGCTGCTTTGGATTCGGTAAGCCCTGCTCATGGGGAAAAGGATTGGAAAAGGACAAAGAACAGAGAGACATCTGAGAAGTCAATCTTATTCTTTCTCTTTCATTTTAAAGAACAGATACATCAAGGAAGGACCTTGGAAGGATGCTCTGGGTCGTGTTCCCATCAAGCATGAAGGGAATGAGTGATGGGGTTTCATTTGGGTTCCAAGAAAATACATTCATTTTAATACACTCCCTGCCAGGAGGCTAGGAACTTTTCAAGAGGCTACATTACAACTTGGGTGCAGAATCTATGACCAGGACAAACCAGAGGGTAGGAAGTTGTGGCCTCAGGGGGCAACACAGAAAAGCTGTTGATTTCCAAATGTACAAAGCAAATACCCTTCATCTGGAAAGAGGGAGTAAAAATACTATATCTCTTCACACCAAAGGAGTTAGGAATCTTTCCACATTAGACACGCTCACACTTACTGTCACATATCCCTGAACACCAAGTCAAAGCAAAGCACTTGCAAAACCCCACAGCTTTTAGGAAATGAGAATGCAAAGATGCCTCCAGTGGCCCAAGATTCAGCAGAAAGAAGCCATCCTTACCCAGAGACACAAAGTTCTCATAGTTCTCCAGCATCACATCCCTGAACAGATCTTTCTGAGAAGGTTCCAACAGCCCCCATTCCTCCTGGGTGAAGTCCACAGTGACGTCTTGGAATGTTAGTGATTTCTGAAAGATCAGAAAATGTTCCTGTTCACCCAGGGACCAGCCCTCACATGGCACAGGAGAGAAGGATGAAGCCAGTAAGGCCCAGAGGGAGCTGTTCTCATGGCGATGAGGGCCTACAATGCTCCCTCCATCAAGGACTGATGTGTGAAAAATCTATTGACCATGTCCCTTGCTCTAGACCAGTCTCTTCATGCATTATAAATAACTGCTGTTCCAGGGTCAGCCTTACAAATCATTTCCCACACTGACCCCAAGAAAAGCATGCATTTCACTCTTTAATATCACATAGCTTTCTATATTATATTCATCACATCCGTCACTCTTCACTGCTGATCACCACAGTATTACTCTGAAGGCAAGCCACAAGTAGAATAAGTGAGGGAACAAATCTCTCTCTCTCCCTCTCTCTTTCTACTTTCTTTCCCTTCCCCTCCCTCCTTCTCTGTCTCTATCTTCCTTCTTTTCTCTCTCCCTCTCCCCTCCTTTCTCTCTTCCTTTCCCTCTCTCCTTCTCTCTCCCCACTTCTTTCCTATCTTCTTCTCCCTGTCTCTCCTCTCTCTTTCCCTTCTTCCCCCTCTCTCTCCCCTTCTCTCTCCTCCACCTTCCCCCATCCCCCAACTAATGTGAGTCTGCTCTCTCCCAAGCTATTATTTTCTTTATTTCCAAGTATCAACAATACATAAATTCATTCCCCTAGTACAAGGGAATTGTAGGGAGGGAATTAGTAATAAAGACTACAATTTAACCATCCTATCTTCTAGAACTGTAAACTATAGGCCACTGAACTTGGCTTTGATTCCTGGGAATAGTCTAAAATAGACCATTAAAGAAACAGCTGGCAAACATGCAGAAAGGGAACCAGCGAATACAAAGAGTTAGCATGGCCTTGGAGAGACTTAAAAACTCTGCTCAATTCAATAGCCAACCATGATTCCCAAGGCCCAATGGCCAAATGCCTCATGTCAAAAAAGGGTGGGCCCAAGACACAGAATAAGACAGGTTTTCTGACACAGCCAACATGCAAATCTATTTTGTTCAACTATGCATAAGCTCATTACAAGAGCTTTGGGTTTGTTTGTTTTTTCTCCCAATGGAGGTGAGAGGGAAAGGGAAATACAATAGGGATAGGGATTAGCTAGCAAAAGGCAAAGGCAAAGAAAAAGAAAAGAATATTAAAACATCTTTAAAAAAAAAAAAGCACAATGGAAAACAGAAAGGCCAGGAAAAATCACAGACAAGCTCAGAAAGCTATAGAAAGCTATACAATAGTAAGTTGTATTTAAATTTGAATTTAATATGATTGAAAATTAAAATACATAAAATAGTTTTAGGTATAATCCTTTTTCTGGATGGAAATGTCCATTTCATTTAGTGTTTATTAACTTCAGAATAAAATTTTTAAAAAATTTGCTCTAAAAGAGAAAAAGAAAAAAAGAGCCAGCCTGACTTTATTAGGCTTCATCAAGATCAAGTCATCCCAAATTAATCTCATTTCCTTTTATTGCAAGATTACTCAATTACTGGATAAAGAAAATGCTGTGGACAGAGTTGACCTATATTTTCTCAAAAGCTTTTTCTCAAAAGTTTCTCATACCATTCTATAGAGAAAATATAGAGATATAATGATAATAGATAATGTAATGATATAGATGATAATCCAATCAAATGGATTCAGAACCCAGCTGGATAGCCAGATTGAAAGAAGAAATGTCAGTGGTTCAACATCAAGGTAATGGGAGGTCTCCAGTAGAGCCCCCAAGGGATCTGTGCGTGGCCTTGTGCTGTTTATGCTGTGTTACATTTTTACCATTGGCTTGGATAAAGGTATCTATGTTCATCAAATATGCACAATGGAGGGTGGGGGGAGACAGACAAGGGAACTAACTAACAAATTTAGGATCCAAAGGGTCTTGATTGACTACAACAGGGGTAGGTTCCCCACCCCTGGACTAGAACATTGGTGTCAAATTCCAACTGAAATGGGGCCACTGAACCTTGCCTAATGATCCTTGTGGCCCATATTGATTTAGAAAATCACATGTTAACATTATCTACATTCTAATGTAGTTTTATTTATTTTGTTAAATGCTTTCTAACTACATTTTAGTCTGGTTCAGGCCATCCAAGGGAACGCTACAACAGGCAGGCTACAGGTTTAACAGCTCTGAACTAAAACTGAGCTGAATCCAATAAGATGAGAATTCAACAGGGACAAACGTAGACTATTGTACTTGGGTACAAAATATCAACTTCACAATTATAAGATGCCCCCTTGATTAGACAACAGTTGTGAAAAAACGCCTGGAGTTTCTACTGGAGCTAAAGGTGACATGGCAGCTGAAAACCCCTTGAGCTTCACTAGAAGCACACAATGTCTAGGACAGGGGAGGGGACAAATCCCACTCTACTCTCCCCTGGTCAGACCTCATCGGAATGATGCCTTCACTTCTAGGCTGCATGTTTTTTTAAGGATAATGACAGGCCAGAGAGGGCCTTGTGTCCACTTCACAGGAAGTTAAGCTCGAGGAACCGGGCGTTTGGCCTGGAGAAGAGAAGATTCAGGAGGCCATGAGACATATCTTCAAGCACTTACAGGACTGTCGTTGTGGAGAAGGGACTAGTCTTCATTTGGCCCCTGAGAGCAGAGCCAACAGCATAGATTGGGTGGCAGTATCAATGAAGTAAATTTCAGCTTGGCCAAGAAGAAATTCCCTACAATGAGATCTATCTCAAAGTGAAAAGAGTCCTGCCTTCTTAGAGGTCTTCAGGCAAAGGCTGGACAACCACTGGTGTGTCACAGGAGGAATCCGTTGCTGGCACAGCTTAGACAGAAGAAGGCCCTGAGGCCCGTTACAGCTCTCAAACTCTGATTCTGTGCAGTTCACACAGGTCCTCCTTAACCTACTTGGCTAATTGGTTCTTAGAGAAAAATACAAATATAAAGGTTTTAGGGTTGTTTTTTACCAAGTCTACCTTCTACAAGAGGTCCTTGCTGATTCCCTTTACTACCAGTACCTTCCCTTGGCAATCATTTTCCACCTATTCTGTACGTATCTCTTATGGCCACAATTATTTACATCGACATCTAGTCTCCCCTGTCAGAATGTCAATTCCTTGAGGGGAGAGACGATGCTATTGCCTTTCCTTATATCTCCAGCACTTAGCAAGTGTTTAATAAATGCTTTCTGACTTCCAAAGCCTGCTGCTCCTTTTAATTAGAAAATTCTTCACCACCTCTCCAATTATTTATATCATACTTATCCTTCAACCCCAATTCAAATTCTATTTCCTTCAGGAAGCCAAGCTCTTCTCTTCCTTCTCTGAAATCATAATTTCATCTATAACACTGCTTTGGGCACTTAACTATTTCCTTAGAGTGTTATCTTTTAATGGGAGGCAACACTGATTAGTTCTACTCTGTCTATATTGTCCTATTAAAAGAAAAAAAACATACACAGTTTAACAAGACTGAATACAGTATAATTTGAACAACTAAGCTTGACTTTCAAAAAACGTTGAAAAAATGCACCTCCCTCCTCTCTTGTCAGAGAGGGAGGGACTATAGGTGTACAATACCCCATACATGCTGTCAGACAAAGCTGGTGTGGTCCTTGGTTTTGCTAAATTATTTTTTCTCTTTATTTTTTCTGGTTTTGATACAAAGGGATGGATGCTGGGTATGAAGAAGGGGAGGAAATTGAAGGGGATGTAAAAAATATTATCAATAAAAACCAGGATAAAAAAAGAAGGATTTTCATGGCAAAGATACTGGAGTGGTTTGCCATTTCCTTCTCCAGCTCATTTTATGGATGAAGAAACTGAGGCAAACAAGATTAAGTTATTTGCCCATACATATGATTATATAGAATATATCATATATATTGTGGGGCAGCTAGGTGACACAGTGGATAGAATGCTGGGCCTAGTCAGGAAGACTCATCTTCCTGAGTTCAAATCTGGTCTCAGACACCTACTAGCTGTAACACCCTGGGCAAGTCACTAAGGATAGGAATTCTGGCTTAAGTTTGTTTGCTTCCCAGCATTTTGTTTGGTAAGGAGCAAACAGTACGCTCAAAGAATGACTGGGAAAAAGTAGAGAGAGGGAAGGCTGCTGGCAGGTGGGACCAGTCTCAGAAGACTAAGTACCATGGCACAAGAGGAAGAGAATGTGGGCAGATATTGGGGCATCCAGGTTGGAGCCCAAGGTCTGCTGGTGAGCTTGAGAAAGAAGTGTCCGCTCTGGGCACCTCAGGTAACTCCCGTATCACGTTAGGTGGCCGGACCACACGATCCAAAGGTAATTCTCAACCCCAACAATGCAGGAGCTCCAGGAGCCGTATGAAGGACATAAGGACAGGCAGTGTCTTCTAGGAAATTATAACTGATATTCATGTCCCTGGATGTGACTTGGTTTAGAAGCGGAGGAAAAGAGAAGGAAGTGTCCACACTTTCAGGAATGAGATGGCATTTTGGAAGAGAAAAGAAAAAAAAACTCACCTGGGACCCAGCTGTGAGGATCCCAGAAGTCATTCTCACCTGCACCTGGACTGTCGCCTCTCAGCCAGAGTCCTGAAAAGACAGAACTGGGAAAGGAAAAAGAAATTACCCGGGAGACCAATTCTGCCCTGCAGCTCCCAAACTTCCCAGGATAGAATCGACTCCACACTACCTAGGTGCAAATGCCTTGGTTCTAACAGGCCCATCTTTTCCTAGGGCCGTGGACATCAGTGTCTTGGACCCTGACGCTCTCCCTCTGCTCCTGGCAAGTTCTAAGGGACAGGGCTCCAATAAGGGAAAGTAGAAGACCTGGCTGAATTCCTAGAACTTTCCCCAAGGTGCCGCTGCACGACACTGAGTATGCAACCCAGGTTCTCTATGTAACCCAATCATCCAATCATTCAATTACTGACAGGATATGTGAAGGAGCCATTTACTGAAGTCTTTGCAGACAACTCTTTGCCTGGACAATGAAAATGGCTAATAGTGATTCGTAATAGCAGAGGAGTATGAAGACAGTTAGAAACCACCTCGCTAACTTGATAAGTTGAAATTGGAGAAATTCCCTCCCTAGGTATTGAAAGAACGTGCAGCTGTGACTGGTGGGCTTTCCACAAGCTTTGAAAGGCTCAATTATCACAGACCAAAGTCTAGGGAACTGACAACAGTAGTTTAACACCAACAGTCATTTGCAGATAGATGAGCAATCAAAGGATACCACCAGTTTCCAAAAGAATTACAAACCATAATTGATCACGTAAAAACATGCTCTACTCAGCATCAGAGAAATGCATATTATATAAAGCAACCCTGGGATTCCATTCCACACCACGACAAATGCCAAAGACGGGAAAATGTGGGAAGTCAATAAGAGATGCAGCTGCGGAAAGAGAGGCCACTGCGAGACCACACAGTATGTAGAAGTGGTCTAACCATTCTGGATTTCAATGTGCAATTATACAAGAAGAGTACTTCAATTCTCCCTGTCCTATGACCAAGATATCCATTTACAAGGCATATGTACCCTAGTATATAATCCAGGAAGTTCAAGATGGAAACAAAGGTCCAATATCTGCAAAAATATTCATGACAGCACTCTTTATAGTTCCAAAGAGCTGGAAAATAAATGGTTACCCATGCAGGGGAAGGGCTGAAAAAAACTATGAACTGAATGAATTAATAGAACTGGACATTATTGTACAATAAGTTTTAAAATAGCTAGCATTTATATTAACACTTTGAAGTCTGCAAAGCACTTTGCATATTTCTTCATTTGATGCTCACAACAATCTTGGGAGTTAGCTATTATTAGTCCCATTTTACAGATGAGAAAACTGAGGCTGAGACAGCAGTTAGTGAATAGAGAATGAGACATGGAGACAAGAAGACCTGAGTTTGAAACTTGCCTCATGCACTTACCAGCTACATGACTCTGGGCTTACCATCTCCATGCCTCAGTTTGCTAATCTGTCAAGAAAATGAACTTTGGAAGGCTTAAGAACTCTGATCACTGTAATAACCAACTATTATTCCTGAGAATCAATGATGAAGCAACTGAAAGAGGTATGGATGGAGTCAAGGCAGAGCGTGAGACCTAAATGTAGGTGACTTTGTTGTGTTATTTGTTGGGATGGTTTTGTTTTCCTTGTTTTTTAATCTTGGAGAAGGAGGTTTAAAGGCAGAAGGGTACTAGCATTAAGGTTGTTTAAAAAAAAAAAGGTAAGTGAAGTTATTTTTTTTTTCAATGCACAAAAGAAAAGAAAGAGCAGGAGAAAACACGACAGCTTTGAAAAGTTACATGTCAGAATTTGGATCTCAAAAAAAAATTTTTTTTTAATGAATGTTGAAAATAAATAAAAAATTAAAGCGTTTAAGTTACATGTTGAATGTATTATATAAAGAAGTAAACTATATAATAGAGATTTATGAGTTCATTACAATCCTTATTTTATTCTCCTTTGTATATGGAAATGCTGATTGTGTGTGTGTGTGTGTGTGTGTGTGTTGTTGTTAAGTTCACAATTTTCAAAAAGACAAAAATTGCTAGGAAAAACTGTCAATCAAGTCTGGCAGAAATAGGATCTACAGTAACATTTCACACCACACACAAGAAAAACAAATTAAAGAAGAGGTGAAGGAGAGACGTTTCCCAGCAATGGCTCAGGAAAGAAATGCTTTTCTGCTGACTTTTTACTGATGGCTTTTGTTTTTACATCCCCTTCATTTCCCAATAAATCCCTCCCCCATCCTCGGCAATCCCAACACTAGGCATCCACTTTTCCATGTCTGGCTGATCACCTCCCGATCTGCCCCCCATCTCATCCTAGAGTCCAGGTACTTCTCCACCCCCCCCTTCTGCCTAGTCCAGTGCCCTGCCCTTCTTCCCTTGGGCTGTGAGCTCCTCATCAGCCCAGCAGCCAGCTCAGTGCCCTGGCCTCACAAATCTCCAGGCCCAGCTTCGAAAGCCCCAGAAGTGGGTCCACCCAACTCCCTCCCCATTCCCTCTGGAACTGACCTTTGACCTCTCTTCCACCAAAACTCAGCTCAAATGCCACCTTCTCTCCACCTGATCCTCAGTTTGGAGTGCCCTTCCTCCCCCCCAATTACATTGCATTTTTTCTGTATACATCATGTATCAACATATGGAAGTGTTATCTCCCTCCCCTACAGCCTGGGCTTGGAGCCAGCAAGAGCTGAGTTTAGACACTTTCTAACTGTGCGAGGCAGTAGATTGAGTGCCAGGCCTGGAGTCAGGAAGACTCATCATCCTGAATTCAAATATGACCTCCACTAGCTGTGTGACCCTGGGTAAGTCATTTCACCCTGCTTGCCTCAGTTTCCTCATCTGTCATATGAGCTGGAGAAGGAAACGAGTATCTTTGCCAAGAAAACCCCAGACGGGGCCACAGAGTCGGGCATGACTGAACAAGAACAAACTTGTAACCTGGGACAAGTCACTTAACCTCTCTGCCTGCCTCGGTTTATTCAATTGTAAAACGGGGGTGACAATAACAGCACCTACATCCGGAGGTTGTTGTGAGAATCAAATGAGACAATATTTGCAAAGTGCTTAGAGCGGTGCCTGGTATACAGTAGGGACTATATAAATGCTTGTTTCTTCCTAAAACAAAGCAAATCTCTTTGGCAGTCCACTCACAAAGGCTTTGTTTTACTCCGTGCCACCAGGGTCTCTCTTGGTTCCTGGCCAGAATTAGACTTGTGATGTCATGAACAGGAAGAGCCCCTGGCAGAGGAGACAGCCTCCCACCAGCCCCGCCTGGAGGGCTGACAGCCCCTCACCCCCCACCCACTCGGAGATCCACAGACATCCAACCCCATCTCCCGACTCCGTGCCCCTTGCCTGGGATGCCCTCCCTCCTCATCTCCGCCTCCTGGCTTTGGAAGGAAGCCGAACTGCCCGGCCCCAACACCCCACAGGAGGTGAGTGACAGGGGCGGGATCTGCCCTTTCCACTGCACCATCCTACCCCTCGGGGTCCAACCCCTCCCCATTCCACTGACAGGAGAAGAACCTGAGGGAGGGGCCTGCCTCCCCCCTCAGCACCACCACTCCGCCCCTGCAGCAGGCGGGGCTGAGGCCGGACACCCCCACCCCACTCCCATACACCCCCGCACACTCGAGACACTCACTCACCCGCAGCTCTGCAGGCGTGAAGCAGAGCAAACACCGGAAGAGCAGAAACCTCCACGGGCAGGTCCACAGTGAGCTCTGAACTACAATTCCCAAGATCCATCGGGAACCGGATGCGGTGGGAATGAACGTGCGAGGCCCTCCCCCCGCCCGGGATGGATTCTGGGAGTCGGAGTCTCAGCCCGCTATACAGCTGCCCGAAGGATTGTGGGAAATGTAGTCTACAGTTTTTAATAAAGCGTTTTTAATATTTTTATTTTTAAATTAAATGTTACATTTTTAAATGAACAGAAATCCCTTTTCTCGCTATTCTACCACCTACCCCAGTGGAAGTAATAAAAAAGAAAAAGAAAAACATCCTTGTAAGAAATATGTAGGTTACATTAAAGCAAAACAAATTCCCTTTGTTGGCCTTATTCAAAAAATAGTCTCCAAAAATATGTGTGTGTATGTAGATACACACATATGTGCACATATAAAGTAAGCTATAAACAGGATAAATAGGAAATAATTGAGAGAGAAGGCACTGTAATTGAGAGAGGCTGGAGAAGGCTTCCTTGGAGAAGGTGCCTTGTAACCAAGTATGTACATATATGCATGTATTCTATTAGTATATATACATCAGACACATGCATACACACATATACGCACGTAGACACACACACATACATGTCTGGACAGCTAGGTGGTGCAGTGGATAGAGCCCTGGGCCTGGAGTCAGGAAGACTCATCTCCCTGAGTTCAAATGTGGTGGCAAACATTTACCACCTATATGACGCTGGACAAGTCATTTAAGCCTGTTTGCCTCAGTTTCCTCATCTGTAAAAGTAGTTGGAGGAGGAAATGGCAAAACCACTACAGCATCTCTGCCGAGAAGACCCCAAATGGGGGTCACAAAGAGTCAGACATGACTGAACAACAACACATATATGTGCATATGCAAATATTCACATACACATAAACACACATGCGGGTATTTTTGTGGCTAAATGCATCCATCTACTGTACACATCTACAGGATACATGCATGTGGGCATGTATGTTTTGATACATGTAGGTAGTTGTAATAGCTTAAAACTGCACTAAGACTTTTGGGACACCCTGTACAAGCCTTCAAAATGTTTGTTTTTGTGATTGTAACGGGGGCTTGGCTGGGCACAGCCGGAGCACCTACCTAACCTGGAGGCTCCTTTGCCTTCTGACCACTCAGGTGAATGTAACCTTCTTTGATTGGTTTCTTTCTGGTTCATACGTTTTCCTGCTGAGTCCAGACGGTTAAGAGTCCAGTTCACCCACAGGAGCCAAGAACTGAACTGTTGAAAGGGGAAGGACATCCTTCCCTGCCCTTCCTCTTTTACTTGATTCTGAGAAATGGGCTCGGGAGTGTTTGTTTGTGTTATACGCGTTTGTCCTTCTCAGTTTTTAGGTGCTTGAGGGTGCTTCCCTTCCCCCCATCCCTATCCTCTCCACTCTCCCCCCAACACTACTCAGGACCCAGGAACTGGAGCCACGTCATCCCTGGAGATAGGATCGCAGGCTGGATGGTGCAGTCAACCAGCCTGGCAGGGAAGCCTGGAAAAGCCAAGGAGCCTGTGACTCTAGCCCAAAGAGGGCTTTGGACTTGAAACGGACACTGTGAGCTCTATAGAAACTGAGCTAGGCTCTGATCCTAATAATCTCCCTCCCCTCTGCAGGGACTAAGGTGCAAAGGAAGGAGATTATGCCTCCCATACTGGGAGCTTGCCCACATATTTATTATTATAAATCTAACGTGAATATTCCTTTGTAAACGCCAATCTGACTTAGCTGCTAAATGGAGCTGGGGTGGAGGACACTGCGCCCTATACTTGGGGAAGCATCCTCAGAACCACTTTCAGAGAACCTAGACCCTCCCAATTCCTTTTAAGAGGACCACAGAACTCGGGGGGGGGGGGGGGGGAGTGGTCAAATGAAACATAACCTAGTGTTCCCGTGGTCAGTATCCAGCAATATTGGTGTTACAGTAGACATTGTTCTCCTTCTGGTTACTTCACTCTGCATCACTTGATACAAGTCTTCTCGTATCTCTTTGAAGGCATCTGTTTCCTTATTTCTTACAGCACAATAGTATTCCATCACATTCATATACCACAACTCATTCCCATTCTTTGCCACAACAAAAAGATGTTACAAACATGTTTGTACACATAAGACCTTTTCATCTTTCTCTGATTATCTTTTGGCTATTGGCCTAGCGATGGCATCACTGGGTCAAGGAGCATGCACTGTTCAGTAACTTTTTCTGCAGAATTCCAAATTTCTTTTCATAATGGTTGGACCTAATTCAAAGCTCTACCAACAGGTGTAGCGAAGTACCTGTTTTACCACAACCCCTTAAACAAAATTAACCATTTTTTTAAAAAATCAGTTTTACCAGTCTGATCGGCGTGAGGTCAAACCTCAGAAATGCATTTCTCAATCAGTAATTTAGAACATTTTTTAATATGGCTATAAATCCTGGGTTTCTTTCCTTGCAGACTGCCTATTCACATCCTTAGACTATCAATTGGAGAATGACTCTTATTCTTATAAGTTTGACTCAGTTCTCTGGAAAAGAGACTTTTATCAGAGAAACTTGCTATAAAGATTTTTTTCCCCAAATACTTGTTTCCCTTTTAATCTTTGTTGGATTTGCGCAAAAAAATTTTATGTTTTATGTTATCAAAATTATCCTTTTTTTTCTTCTGTGATCCTCTATCTCTTGTTTAGATATGAATTCTTCTGTCTACATATCTGACAGGTAATCCCCCCTCGCCCCCACATTTCTCTAATTTGTTTAGGATGTGATCTTTTATATCTAGGTCACATCCATATAGATATAAAGTGTGAGGTGTTAATTTAAATCTAATTTCTTCCATACTGCTGTCCCATTTTCCCAGCAGGTTTTTTTTTTCTTCCAAATAGTGAGAAGTCCTTATCCAAGTAGCTGGACTCATCGTGTTTATCAAACCCTATTAGGTTTGTTTGCTTCTGAACATTGTGTACTTAATCTGTTCTAAGGAGTCATCTCTTTTTTCACTGGCATAAAACTTGTTTTTGAGAATTACTGTATTGTAGTATAGTTTGAGGTATGGTTCTGCTAGTTTCCCTTCATTCCCACTTTTTCCCATTCTTTCTCTTAAAGGTCTTGATGATTTTTTAACTTCCATATGAATTTCATTATTATTTTTTGTAGTTTTATAAAGCAATCCTTTGGTAGTACAATTAGTATGACATTGAACAAATAATTTAAGTATTGACATTTTATCATATTCACTCATCTTCCCCATTAGTAATGAATACTTCTCCAATTATTTAGGTCTGTTTTTATTTTTGCAAATAGTGGTTTGTAGCTGTCTTTGTATAGTTCTTGTGCTTATCTTGGTAAGTAAACTCTCAAGTATTTTATACATTCTGTAGTTATTTTAAATGAAATTTCTCTTTTTGTCTCTTCCTGCTCAGTTTTATTGGTATTGTATAGAAATGGCTAATAATTTGTGTGGATTTATTTTATATTCTGCAAATTTGCTGAAGTTACTGTTTCAATTGATTTTTAGTTCACACTCTCCTGTTCTTAAAAGACACCATGGTATCATCTACAAAAAAATGGGTTTTTTTTTTCCATTTTGGGTTTTTTCTTTCATTTCTTCTTTACATGCTTATTCCTTCAATTTACCAGTATTTTTAGTACTGTGTCAAATAGAAATTGGGGCAATGAACATCCTTGTTTCACCCCTGATTTTCTTAGAAATTATTCTAGTTAATTGCATATTTGCTTTAGGTATATACTATTTATCATTTTAAGGAGAGTACCATTTATTCCTATGCTTTCTAGTGTTTTTAAAGGAAATGGGTATTATATTTTATCAAAATTTTCTGCATCTGTTCATAAGCACCATATGATTATTGCTAGTTATTTATAGTTTTCCTAGTATTAAATCAACCCTGCATTCATGGCATAAATTCAACTTGGTCATAGTATATAATCTTGGTGATACATTGTTTTAGCCTCTTTGCTAATATTTTATTACAGATTTTTTCACCAATATTCATTAGGGATATTGATCCCTAATGTTGATTTCTTTTTCTGTCCTGACTCTCCCCAGTTTATGGTTTATTAATACCACATGTGCCATAGAAGGAATTTGGTAGGATCCATTCTTTTGCTATTTTTGCAAATAACGTACGTAAGAAATTACTTGTTCTTTAAATGTTTTGTAGAATTCACTTGGGAATCCATCTGGTCCTAGGGTGGTTGTTTTTCCCCCCTTTGGATGTTCAATTTCTTCTAATTGGATTGTTTGAAATTCTCTATTTCTTGTTTGGTTAACTTGGGTATTTTAAAAATATTTTTGTAAATCTTCATTTATTTCATTTAAGTTGTTGGTTTTATTGGCATATAATTGGGCAAAATAAGATATCTGTAAAAGCACTTAGCATACAGTGATTGTTGTTACTGCTCAGTCATCGCAGTCATGCTCGGTTCTCCATGAGGCCATCTGGGGTTTTCTTGGCAAAGACACTAGAGTGGTTTGCCATTTTCTTCTCCAGCTCATTTTACAGATGAGGAAACAAGCAAACGGGTTTAAGTGACTTGCCCAGAGTCACACAGCTAGTAAGTGTCTGAGGCCTCATTTGAACTCAGGTCTTCCTGAGTCCAGGCCCAACACTCTATCCACTGGACCACCTAGCTGCCCAGCTGGTATGCTACAGGTGGTATATAATGCTTATTCCCTTTTCTTCCTGCTTTCCCTTTCTTTCACCTCTAAAGTAGTTTCTAATAATCTTTTTTTTCTTTATTTCTTGTGAATTTTTTTTAATTCTTGATACTGGTAATTTAGTTTCTTTTTTATTCTTTTTCATCAGATTAGCTCATAGGTTATTGATTTATTGGTTTCCCCCCAAATCAACTCCTACTTATTTTTAATTTCAAAGGTTTTTGGTTTTAAATTTTGTTAATATTTTCCTTAATTTTCAGGATTCCTATTTCAAAGTCTGTGGTTTTTAACTTGTTGGTTTTCTGGGTTTTTTTTTTTT